CTGAACCTTCTGTGCAAAGCTGCCCAAGGAAAATGACTAATGCTGTGTCTTTGCTCACTTAGAGCTAAACAGCTCATATGCTTACTAGTAAGCATGGGCTTAAATGTGTTGCTGAATCAAGACAAATGACAGTAATCTCATATTGATGTTACTATGAATGGGCTCTTCTCTAGAGGTTAACGGTGTACCAAATACACTATTCTACTTGCTGTCATCTTATTGAAAATTAAGACTTGAACAACCTCTGAGATGTTCTTTATCCTCAAAAGTTTGAAGTCAAATTGACACCCAAAAATATCTGATGGAGGTACTCAATTTGGAGAACATTTGCCTCAAAATGTTGTACCTAGGAACAATATGTGGAAGAAATTGAGGGATACGTATGGTGATACTTTTCTCCCTTTAGTTTCTATTTATAGGTTCTGTCTGCCAACAGTTTCTGCCATTTCTTCCCTTTTCCCCAAATAGTCAGTGTCTTCCATGCTTAAAAGACTTACAGATATCAATAAGCCTAATTTAAAAGTTTAAACTAAATTCTAGGGAAGTGTAATATGATGATTTTCTTTCATGGGAGCATGAAATCCCTATGAGTGCTACTCAGCCTTTAAAATGTTTCGCCTTCTGTTTGCTTGTAAGAAAGACGGGATATATTTCTTTAGAATAGCAAATCATTCACCTTACAACACTGACAACATGAATTTTGTATCAGGTTCTTTTATGTAGAGACATTAGTTTATGCATAACAAATAATTCTGATGTTAAAGTTGAAATTAAAGAAGAAGCGTGCAGGTGGTCTTGCTAATAGCTTTTCTGTCTGGATTTGCTGTGTGTGATGGCTTAACTCAGTTTTGCATGAGAAATACATTGTTTTGTTAAGCTTATATAATGTTATTTTATTAACCTTATATGCAACAGTTCTGAGGTTTTTTTAAGACTTGTTTTCTTGTTTTGGTTTTATTTTTAAAAATAATTTGCTATTAAAGAGAACTAGCATACAGATATTCCTGTGTTTTGTCTCATATCAAGGCCTCTTTGATGTTAAGTCTATCTTTGGGTGACTGACTTTATAAACCTGGTGACTTTGCAGCTGACAGGATTTTCCCATAACTAGAACTTAAACAAAATAGTATCAGATTTGGTAGTTTTCATATTGCAACTGTGAAAGAAAATATGCTGACAATTTAGCTGTTACATAGTTCTAAATCTAAGTTACAAATCTAAGAATAACAGCACAGTTAAACTGGCCACTGGTTTTTAATGTTCAGGTTAGGACTGGGTTATCGATATGTATATACTGTTCAGCTGATACTCAGCAAATAACATGTGTTTTATCTCTTCACTGGTAAAGTTTGAGAAAACTACCAAAACTTCTAGATGTCTCCCTGCTGAAATTCCTAATGTCAGCAAAGCATTAAAGCATATGCTTAAATCCCAGAGGACTGCACTTTTCATTAAACTTTATCTAGTGCTTCGGTGCTTTGACACATCAGAGCCAAAATAAAGTTAGTTTCTGGAAAGAAATAGGTGAAAATAAGGAAAATATAATCCCCGCTCAGTTTGACCAAAAGTAAAGTGAAATAAACCTGCCTGCAGAACAGGAAAACCGTAAGTGTAAGTATTCTGATTACTTGAAAATATGGGGAAAGGATTGATTGATTATCCCAAAGTTACATTTAAACAACATTAATAACTAAGTACAAAATGAAGTATCTCAAGGAAGGGTGTATTTATTAAATGGTAGCAATCAGAATTATTTAATTGGATGTAGCTCAAGGATATATTATTTTCGATGACTGATAGGCTTCAGTCTAAGTTTTAAACAAAACAAGTGCTTTAGACATGGCAATAGACAGTGAAGCCATTGGCCATCTTTAGGTTACTCTGCATGTACATATTTGTATGCATTAACTTATAGGCATGTGTGTGAACACTGTAACTGAATGCATTTGCTGTATGTTCATACATACTTCACACATAAATAATATGCATATATAATAATCTGATCTCGTTATATTGTTAGCGATGGGAAAAAATATTATTGACTGTAGCTGAAATTTGCTATAATTATACAAGAAAATATAGCTAAATGTAGTAATAACTAGCCTCATAAAAAGGGTGACATATCTTTTGAAGTTATGTGTATACTTTGGTGCTTTGCTGAGCCAACCTCAGAATGCTTGAAGCCCTGAAATGAAATGGAAATAGCAGCCTAAAACCAACTGGGAGCTACGTGGGTCATAAGGAAGTGGACAGGATTTGGAAAATTCAAGAAAGTAAGTACAAGTCTTTATTACAACATGTGATACCAAAACTTTCAAAGGTCTTTAGCTACAGTGCTGCGCACACCTGATTTAAACAAAGGGGTATCTTGAAACAGGAGGCAGATTTCCAACAACCTATGCGGTTACTAGGAATGCCTTTAAATGTTCATATTTTTCTTGCAGTCACCTACAGCTCTGATGATACATAACTCTAATATTTGCTATTTGATAAATGAATCCCTAATTCAATTATACTTTTCCCTTGTCCTCAGTGGGACTGAAACTTAATTCAAAATCTATGCTTTATTAGTTCAAAGCTTCTACCCTCTAATCCTAGAAAGGTTTCAAAATCTCTTGCTTGGTATAAACTATAAGGAATCTAATTATCTATAGAATGATTCACAGTTCTGTGTATCAAGAACATGTAGCTTCATGTTTATGCTTAACAGATTTTTCAAAGGCACAGGTTTTATCCATACTGTTTGTACTGTGGAGTCTCTGATTAGTGTCCATGCATTTCAATGTAAAAACCAATGTCACGTCTCTCTTTCCGTAAGAACTGTTTGCCTGGACACTCGCTCTCACGTTCTGTGCCTTTGTGCTGGCACTGATAGGCCTGTGCAGCAGGTGGAGTCAAGCTCCTCATCCAAGCTCCCTCTGCAGAATATTTTTTGAAAACATTTACTTTTTCCATACTCCAAAAAAAACCCATGAAAAAGTTTTGTCCGAGGCTAAATTCCTCTCCTGAACACCCAAGTTA